AATGTATAGTTATTATTATTTATTGGAATAATAGATGTAATTGTTGAGGATAGGATAGGAATTGCAATGGCTGTTGGATCAATTAAAATGAATTGACCAGTATTTATATCGGGTTGAACTTCTTCGACATCACCGGAACGAATTAGAGTATTGAAAAGACTATCAAATATGGATTGACGATTGAATGATAAACCTAAAATAATTTCAAGTATTTTTATAAGAAGATTTCATGATATTTTGATTATCTCATCTTAACAACGAGTGAACTATGCAATTTTATGACACATCATTTTCGCGCAAAATACTGAGAAAGTAAAACTTATGTTTGAGTGTAGATAAACTTTGATATATAAGAAGTTTATAGGATGGGCGAGAACCATAGTATGATATGTTGACTTCAATATACAAGTATACGCTAGTGGGTGTTTAAGTCATTGATAGATGTTTATCTGTATATTGGTGAAAGACGCATAGAATAGAAAGATTCATATTTCCTCTCCCTTTCTTATCCACATCTAAAAGCTTCCGGAAACACATATTCAAGCTGTTATCAACCCACACTTTCATGCGGAAGTATCCCACACGGAAATGTCATGTGTAAAAGCGTTGGTATATCATTATGATGACGTGTTTGGTCAAGTATACAAAAATGGATCGGATATGATAAAATAACATATTTGAGTATATTTATAAAAATAGAATTCATTAGCAATCTGTACCGAAGTCATTTTGATGAATATTATTACTCATCTAAGTCGTAAACAAAAGCAAAGGAACCGAATTATTTAGATTTTATGATATAGACAGTAATTAATTTTTCTACATAATGATTATTTAAATAAAAATGCGACATATGCAATATGAAAGAGTATCATATTCATATATTTCTATCTTTCTTACTAATCATTTTTCTGCATCGTCAAGTTTGTTTTAACTGATTCTTATTTGATGATCAATATATCAAATCAGGGTACAAAAAATATTCATAATAGTTAATACTCGTGTGAATAATTGCAATGAGCAGTCATCTTTATCTATGAGAATTGTTCGATAGAGTTCGTTTATACATAGTGAAAAGTTAGGATTACTCATAAAAACTATCTAAGTTCTACAGCTCAATTTTGATTCATAAAACTATATAAATATACCCGCAAGAACTCCATTCCATTGTGAAACATTTTTAAAGCTTCCAATACGTAAACGTCTTTGTGCAAGAAACGATCGTTGTTGTTCTGTATGACGTGAATATTCTAAAAAAAACGTAATTCTCTAATTTTTCTACAAGATTTAGATTTATTCTAAACATACTATTTCCGCCTTCTAATTTCATTCGAACTCCATCAACATATAATTCAACCATGGAAAGTCGTCGAATTATTTTAATAGCATGATACATTCCATCCGTTATATGCATAACACATGAATAAACATCAGGTTGTTTTTCACCCATATTTAATTTGATATATGATCGTTCTCGTAACTATACAAATCAAATAATATATTATAAAAATTTAGAAAGCAAAAATAAGATTCAAAATTTACAAGTTCATATTCTAAACTATATGAATTTAAATCGGATTCAAGACGAAATATTTGTGCTGACTCTGATAATGTTTGTAAACCAAATGATATTGTATCATATTCTGTTTGACGTGTTTGTGGCATTACATATTCAATTGAACCAATGGATTTATGTTTACCAAAATAAAATCCATTTGGTACTATTGAAATTACATATATAATTAGATCCAATCAGAAACTATTAACTTACATTTATCACATCGTTCACCTATGTAACTTGTTTCAATACAATCACATCGAGGTCCATCATTTTCATTTGTTGAACATATACCCGAATGAACACATGTAAAATCATAACAAAGTTTATTTAAATCTATATAAAAAACAAAATTTTGTTTTATTTATCTGAATTCAAATAAATCGACGTGCAAATTCAATAAGTGTACGTAAATATGATAGGAGAAGAAGAAGAAGGATATTACACGATATAATACAAACAGTATATAGGGAAATGGATATATAGGATCTAAAAGAAGCACACAATCACTTACCATTATTTTCAGGTGATGATACTTTCGAAGAATCTGTTAGAATAGATGATTAATTCTTTTCTCTCAAGTAATTCATTTTTTAACGCTGACTATACGAGAAAAAAAATTATATTTACCTGAACAAATATTCATTTTCACTTGTCCATTCAGTACTAATGCTCGTTGATAATCAAGTAAACGACCATCAACAATAAAACTTGATAGACATCCTTGAAATCCATATGCATTCAGACCTGATCCTGTTAAATTTATATGATTATTATTTGGTATTCCACCAACATAAAGAACTGGTTGAAGTGAAACAGCATTTCGAATACCATTTCCTGATAGAGTAGATCGATTGACACGATTATCAACAATTAATTCAATTCTAAAACAAAAAAATAAAATAAATTCAAATTCTATTTCTTCAAAATTTTAAACTATGCTGCATCATATATTCATTTTCGCAAAAAAAACAGATAACCTTGATGGTTCTCAAAGCTAATTACTTTAATTGATTCATACTAAGCCAATCTGTTATGATTTTTCAGCATGCAATTCTATGTAGATTAATTCCATTACTTCAATATTCTTAAACTCCTATTATCAAAACTAAATAGCTGAATATAAATATACAATATTAAAAATGATTTCATCATATTAACTAAAAATAAATCTGAAATATGAAGGTTTATTAATTTTTTACATTTATCTCAGAAAAAAAAATAGATTGATACTTCAATATGTCTTTTCAAGTAGGATAAAAGAACACTTGAATATCTCATTCTTTTAAATCAACATCTATCAAAAATATTCAAGTAATAATCATAATTAATTTCAAAAAAGAAGTTCCGTCAATATGTAATATCTCAAGATTGATCATAATACTATGTAAATCAAA